CGATTGTTACTACAACCTCCTGATCTGAACTTGGATGCGAAATCATGGCGCGCATACAAAACCGACCAGTTTGTGTGGCGATGTTTAGGCAATCATGTTTTGGTGATTACGTGAACATACCGATGGGTGTCGAATGTGACCCTTTACTATGCCACTATCTTATGTGCAAGGAAGTTACTACTTTTGATCCAGTTGACCTAGAAGAGCTTCTATTTATGGTTGGCGACTATCAGGTTTGCTTTGAGAGGAAAGCATTATGCTTGGTCACCGGCTTGCAGTTCGGGGATTATTTCCATCCCAGTTCTGGTTTTACAACATTCAAAGAATGTGTGTTTCCATTTGTGCCGCTTTCACGTTCGGTGAGTATGGATGACCTTACGAACGTGTTCAATAACTCGCTTCATCAATTAAGCAATGAAGATGTGGTGAGAGTCTCCCTACTGTATATGCTAGAGCAAGGATTTTTGGGGAAATACCCACGACAGCCAGTTACTAATGAGCGTATGGCACTCATATCTAATTTACAGGAGTTTAACAGGTATAACAATTTTTTACCCACATTATATCAAAATAATAGATATCCTTATTAAGTGTAATTTTTTTACATAGGTACCCATGGGGCAGATTGATATGGGATTTCACTTACAAACAACTGTGTACTGTGCTTGATAAGATTTAGGACCATTTGAACCCAAATGCGGCATGAATCGACAGTAGACACATATATACTCTACGGAGATTTGTCTATGCATTTAAGGTATGTACACTATGTTTAATAAGAGTTTTTAACCAACAAGTATTGTAACTTTGTTAACTTGGTAAGTTGTTTAACATCTTAATTTTGTAGATTTGGATCTTCGAGACATTTCCCAACAGTAGTATTGATGGTTCCCATATATCGGGTGTTATCCCTTGAGCAGTTGCATGCCCTAGGATGAGGCGTTTGCATGTACCTGATTGTGAACGTATTCTCGATGTTACTAATGTATGTAGTTTAGTCTACCTTATAATTTATAATTTGATATGACATAAATAACTTACGATTAACCTTTATATATTGTTTTTTATGCAACGTCCCCCCAACGAGTTGTTGCAGCCTACTGCGCAGGAGCGCGTTGCTAGGTGGTGGATTGAGAGTGCCCAGTGGATAGATGTTGCATATTACGCTAATGTTTTGAGTTATGATTTTCTTTGTTAATGTTTTAAAACAATTGTCTTTTGAAGATGTAGCAAAAACAAGTTTATCCCTCCGAACAACATTTTGTAGAATATTATGATATCGAACATACATCACTATGGATTTTTAAATCAACAGTATCATATTGTTGGCTACCTTTTTGACTAGTATGTCTACTCTTAGACTGGAAATTATTTTTGCCTCTTGAGTTGGTCCTACTTGAAGATCCACTTTTTTTTTACTCTGTGGGAAATGGAGCGTCACAGTTTCTGCTTGTGTGACCGATCATTTGGCAACGACTAAATTTTTTCTAAATCGGACCTTCACCTTGGGATGGGATACGGTTATGGTTTTTAGGTCGTACGACTTGTCGTTTTTCCATCAATGGTGGCAAAACAACCATGACTTCATCTGGTTCTTCGTATTCAGCTGGAACTGGCACAAGAAACACAACCTTTACATATGTTGAACGATATGTTTCCATTGTGAAGTACGATGACACCCATGCACAGCAGTGTTAATATCTCAGTTCCTTGAATGCCGCCATAACATGAGTACATGGTATACCCGACAATTACCATTTCCCACATGTGCAGTAACAATTTTCCAAAATTACTATACCATTTTTCATTTGGCATCCACCTCATATCCGCTTTGATCAATATGGTATACCTAAAAGCCAGATGATTTGTTGATCCTCCTATCGATGACCTTCTCAGCATACCCAATAACATCTTTTTTGCTTTAAGCTATAACAAACATTTACGTATACGTTGTTATGCATAGTAAATTACACTACAATTATCATTAAACTATTACAATATAAAGGAAACACTTACCTCAAGCATTACGTAGCTAGCACCACCATTGTTGCATAGTTGCTCGAAAGAAATCGATCAACATTGTTATCGGTAATTTCATTGCGTCTCTTGATAATGCATTGATGCACTCGACACTGTTTGATGAAATAATATTGTACCGAACCACGAGGAAACACGACCTTGCACATCTCTCGTTACCAATTTTGTCTAGCCATGTCTGACAATCATCGTTTAGTGCACGATGTAGCCTACTCAAGCTTTCTTTGAAATCAGACTCTCGGTATGCCATTGCATCCTCCCAAAACAAAATCTATGTTCTCTCTTGCTTTCCGATCTTTGTTCTCATATTCATCAACAAATGGCGACATCAGAGTCCGTGATATGCATTCGAGAACACGACTTGAATGGCCATGTCAATTGAATTGGCTCTATTTGATATGATAGCCAAAGATGGCATGTCCCCAATACATTCTTTGATTCTTGATAAAAACCAAATCCATGACTCTCCACTTTCAGTTTTCCCAACACCAAATGCAATAGGAAGGATTTGGTTATTACCATCCATGCCTACTGCTAGGAACATGGTGCCCAAGTATTTCCCTTTAAGGTGTGCGCCATCAATGATAATAATAGGACACAAACATCTTTGAAACGCTCAAACCTAAAAAGGAATTAATAATCTAATTAAAGCAAACGCATGTGTATGGACATTAAATATAAAGAAGTAGGTATATAGAATATATAACTGCGTAACCTATATCCATGAAAAAGTATTCAAATTTGTTGTCATCACTCGTCTTTATATGTGTAATTGTCCCTTGATTCTTCTTCTCCAAGTTGTAACAGTATATAGGTAGTCTAAGAAAGTTTTCTTCAGGGGTCCCTCTCAATAGATTTAGATCATACATTTTAGCATTCCATGCTTGCCAGTATGAAACATGTACACAAAGACGGTCATTTAAAGTTTGTTGTATATGTTTCCCCTGCAACATATTACTGATACTATCAGCTAAATGCCCTTCAAGAAGTGACCTAATACCTTTTGTTGGCTTGTCGGTGATGGGGACGCAGCTGTGTGTTTGAGCAAGTGTTTCTCCGATAGTTTAACCACTTGAAATGAATTATTAGTATTATGTTTTGTTGCCCTAATCCGCCAGTCACAATTATCCATATAACAAACAGCTTCAAACCTGTCTTTTGTAGATTTTTTCACTTTATATTGGAAACCTTCACTAACACTTTTCTTTCCTAAATTAAGCTTAAGTTCTTCTTTGTTTTTGAAGAGTTGGAATAAATTAACATGGGAATTATAGTTGTGTGATGTGGCCCCTTTACGATTTTTTTGAGCTAATTCGGGCAGTGGTAAAGGATCATGCATACCCCAATGGGTGGATTGTGTTTCTTCAAAATCGGAAAAATAATAAGGAAACTTTTTTTGTTGTGCTTTTCGGGGTTGTGGTAAGGGATCAGTTTCCTCTTCTCCATCTTCATGATCATCCGCATCAAATTCAGTGTAACTCTGAAAATGTGCCACTAGCTCTCCATGTGGAACTATATTACCATCATCAACCAACATCATTAGTTTTGCCTCATCATTCGCATATTCATCAACATCAACAGTAAGGTCATCCTGAACAACAACCTTACTTTTAGACCTATAATCACCCCCATGTATAGGGTCCTTGTAAGAAGGAACATGGTTGGTTGTCATAGGTAATAAATTACAAATTTGGTTACTTCCAGCACCGGAAGAACCATTTCCAAAACGATTTCCCCCGGGAAATCGATTAGTATACAATTATTAACAACAAACAATTGTACTGTGTTGGGAGGCATAGTAGTAACAAAACTAAGAAAATATCTAACATCACTATCGTCAAGAATCTGCATAGCTATATTTGATCCAGGACACTGAAAAGATAGACAAATTTAATTTGTGTGTAACCTGGACTTGGAAACAACCAACGTAACTAACCCAACGAAGTTGATATCACTGGTTATATCTACACCAAAACATGTGTAATCCAGAACAAGATACTGCATACATCCGTCAATACGTTGTCATTGCCCTCCACTAGAAACTGGGACTCGGAAAAAAAACCATATACGTACTCATTCCGGAACGTTTTTCAAAAGTATCGAACACACAGATGTATTGTATATTTGAAAGAAAAACATAGAAAAATCCTAATTTTATCTCTCCAGAACATCACTCCGGAATGTACGGCCGTTCCGGACGTCAGTCCGGAATACACTTTTCCATTCTGGAAGGTACGGAGTGTCAATTCCGGACCTCATCCCCACCAACCGACAACCCCTCCGGAACAATATCATAAATACTTCGCAATATCGTATTTCGGAGCACACCTCCGGAACAAAACATCGTGCTCCGGAATATGGTATTTCGGATCAAGTGGTCATTTTTCAAAAAAAAAAAAAAATTTGTCAAGTGGTTATTTTTATAAAAATGATTGTTTATAAGGGTTAGATTACTCGGTTTCCCTTGTTTTCATTTGTTTTTATGCATATTCAATCCATATACAATAAAACAAAACATGGTGGATGTTGTACCGGATTCTAAATAGGTAATAACCAATTTAAAATGAAAATAATATATGTTTAAACTTTAAAGACTAATTTCTGAATTGCTCAATAAGACGAATAAAGTTGAGCAAAAAGTATTTGTATCTATTATTGTGTTATTTGGAAGCACACCAATAATGTTGAGAGAAAGTGTTTGTGTCTATCACTATGTTATTTACTAGCAGATTATAAACTAAGTAGAATTTGTTTTATTTGTGCCTACCTTTGTGTTATTTAGCATCAGGTTACGATTTAAGCCAAGTAAAAAAATTATGTGTTGGGGATATTTTTGTCATTTTCAGTTAAGTTCATTTATTTGTTCATTCCTACATATGAAACAACATTGATTAATTGTTAATTTCATTTTTTACATATGAAACAACATTACATTGATTAATTGTTAATTTCAATTTTATAGAGCAACCAAACAAGAAAATGGAATGGTAATGATCCATTTCAATACTTTGTCCATTAGCCGCCTCTCTTCCTCTTAAATGGCCTTCCACGTGATCTCTTCACCGCCTTCACACCGTCGTCTTTACTTTCCATTTCCACCTTCAAACGCGGTGGCCGCCCTCTCTTCCTCTTCAATACTTCAGCCGCCGGAGCTTTGCCAGCCACCACCACCTCCACCCGCCGTGGCCGCCCTCTAGGCCTCCTGATAGCTTCAGTCACCGGAGCTTTACCCTTTTTCTTGATCACTGTGGCTAGATATAACGTATCTTCGCTTTTGATAAATCTGAATACGCATTTATCTCCTTCCCATAAGTCATTATCTCGCCGGAAATTACTCCACCCTGACGACACATTGTACCTTTTATAATTCTGTCTGCTCTCCAACTTTAAACTCGTCTTCCACTCCTTTCCATCAACATTCTTCATTCTTATCATTCTTTTTTTATTCATTCCCGCCAACCTCACAAACTCTGATGGAAGCCCCTGCTCGATCAATGTTATTACCACTGGAAACATAAGTTCAAAAACAAATGCAAAGCTAAAAAAATTAAGATAGTATTTTTCACGGATCTTACCAAACGAAACTTGTGGCTTTTAGATATAATCTTCATAAAGAAAGGATTCTCTTCAATATCACCACCACCATCGTCATCTTCCCCACCTCCACCATTATCAACATAATCATCATCCTCGCCTCCTTCTTCTTCTTCTTCTTCTTCTTCTTCTTCAACAACATCATGTTCAACCTGTATTTTTGTGGGGGAGTTCTTTTTCACACCCATCTGGACTGTAAATTGAAAGTGTGAAGGTGGAGTGATGAACGAGTCGAAAGACAAGAATATCCCCAAAACCCAACTGGGTATCTTTAAGGACGCTGCTCCATCCATCAGCAATGCAGTAAACTTCAACAAATTTTTTGATCTTTAAGTTCCATGAATACTCTCCATTTACAGATTGGAGCAATAGGTCCTCAGGGATCTTGTTCTCCAAGAGCTTGCTGATAAAACCAGGTGGCAATGGCTGTAAAATTAATTACACGATTTCACGTTAATGGAATTTACAGGAAAAAAGAAAAACAGAGACTATAGACTCCACGAATTAGTACCAGGTGAGGGCAGGATGGGTCAAGCACGACCTTGAAGAAGGAAGGAAGCTGTGGAGTAGCCATTTTTGAGAGGTTTTTAGAAGAAGATGAATGCCAAAGATACGTAGAGTAACATATATGTAATACTTTGACAAATTAACATAACGTATAGATAATATAAAAAATACAATCTTTAATCATAACAAAACGTACATCATAGCCTTTGAAAGTTGAAAGGAATTCATTCAATGTTTGGCTCAGTTACTTGAGACACAAATATGGGAGTAACTGACAAAAACAAATTTAGGGTATGTACTTTTACATATTTAGTAATTTTTTAGAAAGTAGCTCTTTTTTAACGTTTCAAAAATTTAAGGGACTTACAACTCCATTTAGAAGGGCTCCAAAATCAAAGATTTTTGTCTGTTTCTTTGAAAATGCACCACCAATTATAAAAATGCTTTTATTTCCATAAGACAAATATCAATAATAGACCCTCTGTTTCTTTAACTTTTTTTTTCTCGGTCAGTATTAGTGTTGTAAGGATAAATGATGTTTAATATCGGAGAAAATGATAATAAAAGGTAAATTGTGGAGAATAGCAACATTCTCACTTACCAAAACTATTTTTTATCTAAAGACTCATCTATCAATTTTAGGTTCCTACTTTCATTTTAGTGCTGCTATCACCAACAAAATACACAATTTGTTGCCTTGGTCGGCCTATAGCTCGTTAAATCATAAAACTAATGAAAACATGAATGAAATTGGATCTGAATATCGGATTAGCCGTTTTAATATGAAGACTCATATATAGATTACAAATAAAGCAAAAATACCAAGATTGGTAATAGAATCATGTAATCTTTATAATTTGTAAGTTTTAAATGATTGGATTTTATATTGGTAACCAAATAGGTATATGGTGACCCTTGAGCTTGTTTAGCATCTACAAAAATCTAAATAGAGAATTAATCAAAAGCTCCTTATTAGTGGGAAATCAAATAAAGTCTTATTTGTTTGTGAATTGTTTTTACACAAAATAAAATACTACTATTATTTTTTTACTTTGTTTGAGTTAAACAAAAAGTACATATCAAGTAAACAATTATATACAAATCTCTTCCTTTTTACTTGTTTCATATAATTTACATTTACAGGGCTAAATGTATGAATTAGCAATGTATTTTCAATTATCACATCATCCTACTTTCATTTATTTCTATTACAACATTATACTATCAATGTTTTTCTCATTAAGGAAATGTACTTAAAAAAAAACTTATAATGTTGTAATGAGAAATGAAAGTAGGATGCTATAATAATAATAAAAAAAAAAATTCAAAGTACATTGTTATTTAGTGCATTTACAACCTAAAGATTGGGTTCATGACAATAGCTCGATAATTAGACAGAATGTGTTACCAGATAAGCATACACTCATGTCACATATTCAGATTTTGGGAGATGATATACCTATAAAAACGTGAAAAATCTATTAATTTTCATCAAATTTTGTACATAAATTGTCAAACATCGGTTACCTTGATGGAAGTTCATACAAATTGTAACTTTGGTCTAAAGTTAATTGTGACAAAAATGTTGAAGACCATTCATCAAAACCTGAAATCATAACATAAACACTAATCTTGTTTCAAAAAATAAAGCCTGATCGATTACATGACGTCAGTGTAAAATGCTACCTAATAATTATATCCTTCTCCTTTGCTTTTTATAACTACTACCAACTATGTTAAAAAAAAAAGCAATAACCATGATTTGGTACTTCAACATCAAAGAAAATAAATTCTAAATAGCAAAAAACAACTTAGATGCGTGCCAAGGTCATCAGTTTCTTGCAATTGTTCTCGAATCCTCTGAGGCATTTCATCGAACATGTGATGAGCGAAAACAGGAAAACCAAGATAGGAGATGTTAGGACTTTTTTTACTGAGAGACAGAGAGCGATGATATAAACATAGAAAGATTCAATCGAAAAACTTACATAAAACTCGTCATGTTGCTTTTTAAATAAAAGCCATCTTTGAAGAACTCAGATACTTCGGGAAGTTCGTCATCAGAATTTTAACCGAAGTATGCCACCTTTCCTTCCTTACTCCTATAAAAATGATATTTTCAGTCTTGGAACGAATTCTGTGTAGCAAATTAGGTCATAGAAATTAAGAATTTTCACCTGTTAATAAATTTGCTTTGAAAGTGATGATGAAAAGGGGAAGAACGAAGGTGTTCATGTAAGGTTCCCAAATGATATATTTCTTGGGTGATGAAAGATCATATACACCGGAATTTAACTTTGTTGATGTCGGTTGATCGATTTGTGAACCAAAAGGAATTGGTTCGAGTTTCCCTAAAATCAGGCGACATAGTAAGACATGCATCACACCATCTGAATCAGCTATTAACGATTTTTGACTGCACGGAAGAAGAACGGTTAATATGAACGCCAAGAACAGATTTAAACAAAATCATCACAGATTCTTTAGATTTATGCAAAAAGGTTTGAAAAATAACGTATCTATGAAATGGAACCACAGCAAGAACTTAATTGTAATGAATTGATAAAAGACTGGAGATATGAATCGAGAGGAACTGTTACTAACCTCGCATTTGAATTGTTCACCAGAGAGAAGTAAACATCGCGACCATAAGAGACGAACTGTTGTCAAATCCGCGAAATCCATAACAAAAAATTTCATGAATCTCTTCACGAAAACCGTTGTACCAACCATACCTGATGTTCAGGTCTCAGAAACATGTCATCGTCTAATTAGACAACTAAACAATGCAAATATAAACACAAAAACTTAAAAACAAGAGAATATGAAAAAGCTTAATTTGATTTACATTATAACATATATAATGTATCAAAGAAACCTTATACTTTTTGTTTAAGCATTAGTTCTTTAACAATTTATCTCAAACTCTAATTAGACAACCAAACAATGCAAATATAAACACAAAAATAAAAAGAATAATAAAAACATGTCAACGTCTCAAATTCTGTAATGACGCGTTAGGCAAAAAAAAATTAAAATTTTATGGTCTCCTAAGAAAAAAACCAAAGCTATTTCCTAAACAAATTAAAATTAAGATATATGTAATTAATAATCATATGTTATGTAAGTATCAATGAAAGGATAAAAAAAAGTCAGCAGCTATCGTCTGGGTGATTGTGAGGCACATTGTAGCATAGAGAGGCACAAGTGACAACAACTATCGTTGTATTTACCCATCGATAGGTAAATAAAAAGCAATAAAGAAACCCTAAAGCAACTCTAAATCTCTAATATGAAAAAGAACAAAACACACGACAAGAGGGAAAGATGTATGGTGTTCGACTTACATGTAAAGCAAGGTTGTAGAGATTTACCAAAGTCGGTTGGTGCTCCGACAATCGGAGTCGCGAAAGCCAGTGAGACTGAGAGCCCGGACAATCGATGGAATGGGTTCATCTACTCAAATACTTAGACAACCATGTAACAGAGACTACAAGAAGAGAGGTGCCGATGACTGATGATTAAGGTTTAGGTTTTAAGTTTTACTTTTTATAATTTACATTCGAGCAATCGATGGCAACGATTTTTTAATATGTGCCCTAAAGGCACATATAAGAAACATTAATTGAAGTGTTAATTATTAGGAATATTACCATAATTAAATATTATAAATATCAATTATAAATAATATTATTTATAATTAATGCATTTTACATTTAATTATGGTAATATTACACATAATTAATGTTTATCACATTTAATTATGATAATGTTTAATTTTAATTATGATAATATATATATATATATATATATATATATATATATATATATATATATATATATATATATATATATATATATATATATATATATATATATATATATATATATATATATATATATGTGCACACATGTATTAACAGGTTAAAAAACAAGGGGGCCATGACCTCCCTTGGCCCCTAAAGGGTTTCACCCCTGCTTGTTTGGATTCTTCTCAAATTGCTCGAACATGTCGAATTGAAAAGTGCTACTAGACTCATCAACATTCTTATCTTTCTTCTAATGAAAAGCGGATTTTGGATCTTGAAGTGGTGGAACTATATGGTTTCCGGATCCTCTAGATATAAATCACTGAAACAGAAACAAAAAAGTAAATTCATAAAAACGAACTTAACAAAAACTGAAGACTGAACTAACAGTGACCATGGCGTGGCCGATAGCGGCCATAGGGCGGCTATTGAACAAACAAAAAAAATTCAAAATATCCAGAAAAATAACTTTTTGTGGTTTTTACCTCACAAAAAGGAGCGAATAACTAAAAAGTAATTAAACTAAAAATCAAATAAGTTGTTCTCCGACAACGGCGCCAAAAACTTGATGATGCAGAATTATACCTATCAACTTTTAAATTTATAAATCTAACTAACTTAACTAATTTATGCACCTATAGGCAGTTGTACGTAGTCGGATTCTAGAATAGCTTAGGTAAGTCGAGTGTCGAACAATGGGAATGAAATTTAATTAATAAAATAATTACTAAAAGTTAAACTAAGAAACAAACTTTGAATGGGGGTTTTACTGATTTTTCAAGACCAGAAGAACTTAAATCAAACAACTACCAATTATCATTATTAAACTAAGTAAAGAAACAAGTTGAATTCAATATTAAAGAGTACTTTCGTTATATCCAAAACTCCCCTTTTCTCTATGCTTGATTTCTTATTAAACTACTATTGTTGGTTACCAAATTATTAAGTAACTAGTTATTATGATCAAATCCCTAATCGTTACCAATTTATGACTTACTATGTTATGATCAAACACAAGTAAACACGAAATCGATATTAAGATAAATCTGGCTATGAAAGATAAACCTATTAGTTACTTTCCTATGATCAAGTCAAGCAACCAAGCATGAATTATGGATCAATTATGCTCTTTAACACACTTAACGTTACTAGCTTTAATTACCTAATTTAAGATTTGTTCAACCCTAGCTCTAGCAATTTAATAATTATAAACCACTAGGTAATCAAGTTCACGCACATAGAATGATCATCTGCTACACAACTTATATCAATGCAATCAATGACTAGAACATAAATCATGTAAGGTTTTGATGTATCAACACTAGAAAAACCAACAATATTTAATCATAAAATTGAAATCTATACATAGTTCAAAGGGTTTATCATCACCAACGAAAGTAAAAGGGTTTTAGCCTCTAATCATGGTAAAGCACATATATAATCCAAACAATTTAAACTAGCAAACCGAATGGATCAATGTAGTATTCTTATAGATCTCTTCTTTTCTTGGACTCCAATCGAATTCTCCACTTCAAAACATTTTCTTGAGGGTTTTTATCGCAATACTTCTCTAGAAAGTCGGCTAAAAGTCCCTCAATTCGACCTAATGTTCAAAATTTATAGTTTCCTTAATTCTGCCTCCCACGACGTGGCGAATAGGCTCCACGGTGGGACGATCTTTTTCTATGTGTATTCCCTAAAGCAGCTTCAATGGTTGTGAATGTTCTACTTACCACGGCATGTCAAGAATTCCCCACGTCGTGGGATTCAGAAATCTTGAGCTCTTTGACTTCGATTGACTTACCCCACTTTTCCAGCTTCTAGCTCCGCAATTACTTCATTTTCATCCCGAGCATGTCTTTGTTGCTACAAAACAAATTTTAAACATGTTAAGTACCTTTTGTCCAAAAATAAGCACAATTTTAGCTAAAAATATTAAGATAATGCCCAGAGTATATGAATAAATATGCACATATCATAATACCCCACACTTGACTTTTGCTTGCCCCCAAGCAAAACTGATTTTTTTAATTATCATACTATCACATCAAAACCCTAACTATCAACATCTCACAAGATAATCTATTTTGAGCTCATCCATTACATCGAGATCGCAATGCATATATTTGTGTTTAATATCCCTAAGAACTTGCCTAATCCTAAATACTCACAATCCTCATAAACATTTCCCAACTATTTTGAACAACATTCATTTTATGCATCCCTCCGAATATATCCTTAGAAATGTTTCTTAACTTCAATGTATTTTTGGTTAAGCTCTCAAGCATACATATGGAAAAAGAACCTAGAAAGAAAAATTACAATAATAATAACCTGGTAATTTGCCTTATTCTTGAGTCTTCAACTTAATTCTTCGATTTTTGAACTTTTTGATCTTTTCTTCATAACATTTGATCTTCATAGCTTTGTATTCTGCAATGCGCACGACTAACAAGAATCCTAATTTAGTATTTAAATTATAATTATTATCTATTATATCTTTATCGACTAGCCTGAAGTTCCGGGTGTTACATCCATCCTCGTTTGCATCCTCTCATCGCAGATCAGAGACGGCCATAAACCACAACAACCACCTAGTACGCTTGGCGTAATGGACTCCGTGTGAGTGCGATGTGCGTACTCCAGTACGCTGGGCGTACGTGGCTCCATACCTAAACCCTAAGAATTAGGGTTTGTGCACAATTTAAACCTCATTATGGCCCAAGACCCTCCCATACCTCAGCCTCAATTCCCTTTCTCGTCCCTCTTAGCAAACCCTAGTGCATTTTGACATTTTTGGAGCTTTTGAGTGATAGTGTGTGCTTTTGGTTGTGAAGAAGGTTGTTCAAGAAGGAAGCTTCGCCCTCAAGAGTTTGGATCTAGCTTCTCATCTTCATTTTGCACCACTAGAAGGTATAAAGCTCCAAAATTTGGTTGTGTTTCATTAAGTTCCATTTTGAGACTAGCTTTCTCCTTTTTGTCCCTAAAGTTTAGATCTTGGTGAGTATGAGCTACTCCTAAGCCTCTAAGTTGTATTTTCAGATGTTTCTAGTTGTTTTATATCATAAAGGTGCAAGTTTGGACCTTGTTGAGTCCCCATTCATGAGCTAGAGTGTAAGTTTGGGTGTGATAAGCTAGGTTTTAGAGTTTGAGCTCTTTGTTTCCACCCAAAGGCATAAAGTTTGCAACTTTATGGCCTTAATAATCTTAAGGGCTCCAGATCTGATTTTTTAATCGTTTTGGCTTAAGTGATTAAGTCATTTTTGCATGGTTTGCATGGGGGCCGCGTACGCCGTACGTACTGCCTCCATTGGTCGTGTTTCCCACTTCAATTGTGTACGATGCGCGTACCATTGTGTACACCAAGCGTACAACCCAAATAATTGGATTTGTGTTTTGGGCCAAATTGATGGGCTTGTTTGATGGGTTTGGGCCTTGGATGTTTTTCCGATGGGGCACTCCAGTTGTTGGACTCATTTTGGGCCTTAGTTGATCCTTGGTTGGAGCTTAGGATTTTATTGGGCTTTAGGTCTTGTTTGACCCATCTCATTTTGGACATTTGTCTTATGTTGTAAGTCTTAGTCCGGATTTTGACCCAATTGTTTTGGGACCTTATTGTTTGGTTAGCATGAGAATTTATCCAACCTAGCAGCCCGAGTGTTTGTTTGGGATTTCAGCAGTTGAGGTGAGTCTTCTCACCATGTTCATGGGTTGAAGGCACCAATGTCGACCCATTTCTTATTACGTAGAATGTTGTTGACTTTTGTGATAATGGTATGGAAGACCATGGGGGTAGCCCATGGCACTCATATGTAAGACCGGGATCTGGCCCTCGGTATTGTGTGCAAAGACCATGGGGGTAGCCCATGACACTTACATGTTTTCTTTTAGTATGTGACATGATTGGGAAACTCACCAAGCTTTTGCTTACAATTTATATTTGTGGTTTC